GGGTTTCCGGTTCATTCAGCCTGGGAGCTCATCTGAAGACCAACGCAGAACTTTGAGTTTGCTTCCTGTCCTGCAGCGCTGCTCTCTGACCTGCTGTTATTCAGGTCTGTGTCAATAGGAAGGGGAGTTATAGCTCCCACTGAAAGGAAAAATGAAGAAGTTCTGGAATCGTCTAGCAGCTTTTATTCAACCTTTGTGTTTTTATCGCTCAAAGGACGACGAAGCTGCAGGCGAGAAAACAGCAGCTGCTTTCAGATTTCTGGGGAAATCTAAAGAGCTCCGAGCTGTTGTCGAGATTTGAACATGAAACTTTAAAGGAGTCCCTTAAGCCCAGAGGAGTCCCTGTGATGGAGCCACGCAGCTCCTGAAGAGTCCCACCAAGCTCAGCTCCAGGTCACCCCCCCCCCCCCCCCCCGCACTAGATTAACTTAAAGCAGACCAGGAGATGCCCTTCATCTTTAGTTCATTTATTAATTCATTATTGGTCTGATGTACAGAGAGTCCCACAGCAGAGCCAGAAACCAAGACCGGGTTAGTGACCCCGAGGTTCCCACTGATACCAGATGTCCGCTTTTCAGTTAAATGATGAAGGATCACTTCACTCTATGGACTGATCTCTAGCAGGGGTTTGTGTTCAAAGAACGGCTGCATCCTTCAGCGTGTTGCATCAAGACTGCTTCACACGCAGGAAGCTGCTGCTGCTGAGAAAACAGCAGGAGACGCTGCAGGAGGTCCTGAAGGATGCAGGACCTCATTACCGCCGGTGCAGAGCTTCATCAATGATTGCTGCAAAGCGGCGGGGGTGCACGTCTGTGACTCTATGGAGGGCAAATAGTTCCAATATTACTGAAAGCAAAAAAAGTTTAAAAAAAAAGAACAATTAAAAGAAATTAAACTTTGAAAAACGTTCCAAAGTAAAAGCTTTTGTAATTTATAATGTTTATATTTTATTGGTAGTTTTCAAATTTTATAAAAAAGAAATTGATATTTTTTTTTTGCTGATTTTATCTGTTTTTCAAATCAGATAAATTTTTTTTATGTATATTTTTTTGCCTCGGTTTTCAACGTCTTCAAACCATGTTAGCATGTCATTTCCGGTTGGTGCAGACTGATCGCGCAGCAACACCCCCTGCTGTCCGATCAAGTGTACTACCCACATGTCACAGATCATTTTTAATGTGACATTTGTGTAAAAAGTAAATGGTTTTTGGTGTGCAAATTGTAGAACAGAATTTGTGTACTTGAACTGAAAATTTGAACAGATGTAAAAAAAAAAAAAAAAAAAAGGGGGGAATTTTTGTTTTAAATACTACAAATACAAAACTTAGAATGTAACTCTCTCTACAACTTCAAATTCACACTTAGAATTAGAATGCACAAGTAGTTTTAAAATAAAATAACCTCCATAGCCTGACGGGGTATGCTGGTCTGACAGAGCACCGGTTTTCCAAAGATTTTACCTGCTAAAACCTTCCTGTAGAGGAGAAGCAGCTCTTCACACCGTGACCCCAGAAGCTCCTGATGTTTCCAGAGCGCAAATCGTCAAAATCCAATTCTGATCCAACATTTTAGTGTCTGTAAAATGTTTTTTTTTCTAATAAAGTTCTGGATACTACTGGTTTCTACTGACTCGCCCACATCTGATTCAGACACTAAGTGGAACAAACAAAGAAGCTTTTAGGAAAAAGAGCTCTTGTAAAATGAAGCTCTATCTCTCGGTGTCGGATCCAAATGATTCTATTTTCTGACAGAATGTGGAGGAGAAGATTTGACTGTTTGACTAAAGCCTGAAGCAGAGATCATTTACCTCCAGGAACTCTGTTATTGTCTGCAGAGGATTACTGTCTGATGAGTTTTTGAATGAGGAAGGTGGAGGCTGAGCCAATTTAGCAGAGACTCTTAATACAGAGCGAAAAATTCAGTCACACAAAGACTGGCGATGAGGGATTTAAATGGTCGCTGCACCTAAACTCACTCACTGTACAACTATGGTTTCTTCAAGCTGCTGATTCTTAGGAAGATTTGGTCAAAATGAATCTCACCTGTTGCAAAGCAGTCAAACATTGAAGAAATCTTCAGGGTGAATCTCATCCATGAGGCAAACTCCACTATTCTTTAACCAAAGTCACAAAAATCTCATCATCAAAGTAATGTGTCTGAAGGTGGCGTATTTTATGAACAATACATCGACTGCGTGACCCGAACTAATCTAAGAATCCCCTGGAAGTTCTGTGATTCTCAGTAAAAGGAAGGAGAGGTTCTGAATCCTCTGATGTAGGTCCAGGTCGTCTTACTGTGGGGAAATCCAGGGGAGGAGGCTTAAGAGGACGATCAGTCGTTCACTCAAGGAAGCAAAGTAATCCAGATCTGCATTGGCACGCAGCAGCCCAGTGGTTCAGGCTTTCTGGGTCCGACGGGAACATTTGACCAAAACCAAATGGATGAATAAAAAAATAAAAAGAAAAGAAAACATTCTATCTTGGTTTCTCTTCATTGGCTTCCTGTAAAATCTAGAAAAGAGTTTAAAAACCTCCTTGTCACGTATAAAGTGCTAAATAACCAAGCTCTGTCTCTCTATAGTTATGCTGCTAAAGGCTCTGAGTGCTAAACGACATAGGGACCACTTTCTCTCTCTGCTTTATTCTACTTCTACTCTCAAACTCTGCATTATTTCTTAAGGAGAAAATACGCCACGCACATTTCAGCACATGGCGTATTTTCACCCTGTCTACTTTTAAGGCTAGGCTTAAAACTTTCCTTTTTGATAAAGCTTCTAGTTAGAGTGGCTCAGGTTATCCTGAGCTATCTCTATAGTTCTGCTGCTATAGGCTTAGACTGCTGGAGGACATAGGGACCCCTTTTTCTTCATTCTATCTCTATTCTCCCACTCTGCAGAATCTGTTAGTTCAATCTCTAACGTTCTGCTCTCTCTGCTTTTCTCATAGTAGCTTCATCTGGTCTGTTCCTGTTTGGCTGTGACTCCATCCTGGAGAGAAATATCAGCTGTGCTGCTGCCATCAACACCTTTGTTTCTAGATGTTGGAGCTTGGCCTGTTTTCCAGTGTAGTCCTGTTTCTCTGACTGTGACTAACTGGATGTGCTCTCTTCATCCTCTGACATGGGCGCTGGCTCGGAGCTCGTCTGCCTGGCTGTGTGTTTCCTGGACGGGGCCACCTGTGGAGCTGGTTGACAGCTGCCTTTTGTATCTATGCTTCTTTTTCTACGCTGCTTCTGTCTCCTTGAACCCCAGTGGGCCTCAGCAGATGGCCGCTCACACTGAGCCTGGTTCTGCTGGAGGTTTCTTCCTGTTCAAAGGGAGTTTTTCCTCTCCACTGTCGCTACAAGCATGCTTAGTGTGAGGGATTGCTGAAGAGTCAATGAGTCGATGCAATCAGCTGGTTTTCCTTAGATAGAAAACTTTGAATCAATCTGACTGGATGATCTGGTGAACTGGAAAGTGACCTGAGATGACATGATGGGAATTGGAGCTATAGAAATAAACTGAATAGAATTGAATGTACAGCAAGTGCAGCAGAGCAACATGTCTGATTGCTACATGAACATGAAGGTTATGCCTTTGAATGTATTCCTGACTTTTATTCGATCAAAATAAAGGATAAATTACTGTTTATTTCATAATTTAGCCTTTGGATAATTTACCTGATATTTTCGGCTTTTGAAGATTTTAACACACGTGTTTTCATTTGTTTTAGATCAACTGTAATAAAACTGAATGGAAGACATTTTTGATGCGCAACTCAGATCACAATCTGTGTACTTGTACTGAAGAATTTGAAGAGGTACAACTTTTTTTTTGTAATTGTGACATAAAAAAAAATCTACAATTACAAAACAAAGTTATAATGCACAAATAGTTTTGGACAATGGTGTAACGACAACAATAGGCCTGTCTGCTTTGCTATTGGTGTCGTGTGTAAACGGCTCACCATCATGTTGAACCTCCTCTCCTTAGGAGGCATCTCTGCAAAATGAAACATGATCCTTAATCTACAATCTGATGCACATAAAACACACACACACAAATTTACATTTCATAACTTGTCAAAAATAGCCACAAATTTAATCTAATAATTTGCCCTTTAAAATTCCTAGTACTTTAAAGTAAAAATCTATTAAATAATATATAGTAATATATCATTTAAAAAAAATTCATGAAATAAATATTCACTTATTCAAATATTTCTTTGCTTTTATTTAGTTTTACTATTGACTTTGGGCATGACATCAAGGGTCTAAAAGTTATATATGTGTGCATATTAAACGCTATGGGCCTATTTAATTTTTGTGGAAATAAATTACAGTTTTAGAAAAATAAATAAATAAATAAGGTCCGGTACGGTCAGTTACTTCAGTATCAGGAGGGTTTAAGAAGATTTTTTTGCACCGTTACATCTGCAAAGAGTCGTCCTGGTCTACAATTGTGTAGGGGCCCATCAGGTGTCATTGATGGGGCCCCTAAGAGGTCCCGGGCCCCTAAGCAACTGCTGTCTCTGCTTACCCATATTTACGCCATTGGTTCTGGACCATTTGGAGCAAGCTGAGAATGTAAGAGGTTTTTGATGTGCAACTTGTAGAACAGGATTTGTGCATTTGTACTTAAAATATGAACATATAAAAAATTATTTTATATAAATTATACTTCTACAAATACAAAACTTAGAATGAAACAACTTCAAATTAATTCTTAAAATGCACAAATAGTTTTGACAAAATAACCTTCATACCCCAGACCTGTTTTTGCCCAGGGCCTCACATTTCATAAATCCGCCCCTGAAATAAACAAACCTAAAACACATCTTTGGTCTATCCGTGTGTGAATAGAAGAATAATGCCTTCAATAAAACAAATCTAATAAAAACAGAAGAGAGTTTGTGTTCCTCAGATTTAATTGGATCTTCAGAAGTTTGGCTCCAATCAAAGGGTTAATGACGCAGGGATGGTCAGCAGGAGGCTGGAGGTGGGAGTCCTGCGGACTGATCCTCCTCCTCCTCCTGCTCGGCAGCAGAGGAGCCGCTGACAGGCGGAGCTGCAGCACCTCCTCCGCTCTCCTCCTCCATCGGATCTCCTCTCCGAGCCTCCGGCATGCCGCGGCCGCCTGCCTGCGCTGCTCAGCGGGACCAGCCGCCTCGGTCGGTGGATGAATGAGTTGAGAAAGTCCGCTGGAAGTGAGCGGAGCCGGACAGCGGTGGATGGGAGATGAATGTGACCGAGCGACCCGCCAGCCTCCCGGTTCCAACTTCGGTAAGAGAATCCTTCTGGTTCTGGTTCTGGTTCCGGACGGCTTGGTGTGAGAAACAGGGCGAAGCTGCAGCGTCCAGAACTTCCCTTAGAAAGAGCCGCTTTCTGCGCGTTTTGTGCCCGAAGCTTCAGAACTGACGCCCGGCTTTACAAACTGAGCTGATCCCAGACCAGTGTAACCATCAGAACAGTTCGGCTCACCCAGTGACCCCCACCCCCACCTGTTTCTGAATAGGTTTCATCTGCAACATGCTGGCAGATCTTTGACCTGCTGAAGGAGTCCAGTACCAGCTGCACCAGTTGGCTTTGATGGTGACTTGGACTTGTTCTGACCCGCACATCCAGCTGAGGTCCGGTCATGGGTCTATAGGCAAGATGCAGAAACCCCCCCCCAGTCTTTGGCCAGTCAGCAGGTTTTTGTTTGGTTCATCCACAGATCAGCTGGTTTCTGTCACTCTGTTCCTCCTCCAGGACAGGAGGGCATTTCCAGGTCCTGAGAGCCGCTATCCTGCAACCTTTAGATGTGCGTTTGGTTCAACAATATGATTGACAGGACTCTGGAGGAGCTGACTGCCTACTGACTCGGCTATTTGATCCAGGTGTGTTGGACCGATGGTGGATCTAAATGTTGCAGGATACCGGCCCCAGATGTGTCCATGAGGAAAGTGGAACTGGTTCTCCTTCATGAATCCTTCCACTCTGCGCAACGCACAAAAAATTCCCCCTGAACATGTGGATGGCACCAGCAGCATGGGTGACCGTAGATCCAGCAGGTCCAAGCTGAACCCCTCTGGTCTTATAATCTCCTAAAGCTGTTCAGCGCGTCTGCGTGGACAGATGCAGGGTTGAGCGTGTGATGTCGGGGCCTCGACCCTCCAAGCTGATGTTCAACCAGCGCCTGGCTAATGACAGACCTAAGCCTGGATGTTTCCTGAAATTGTGGCGTGTTTGGTCTTCAATTCAGTTCAGTTTATTTATATGGTACCAATTCCCAACACCTGTCATCCAGTCAGAATAAAGGTTCAAAGTTTTCTGTCTAAGAAAAAAAAACAGCTGATTGCATCCAGTCATTGACTTTGCAGCATTCTGGATGGATCCTGGATGAGCGTCCAGTTAAGGGCTGGTTATCCTCCTGCAGCAGAGTGTCGCAGTGAGCTTGTATCAGATTTTTTTGATTTATGCCCAATATTGAAGCGTGGTCTGCGCTGTTATTCCACACCAAAAACGCCAGAGGGCCAATCAGGAGCTAGCTGTGGGTCTAGATACGGCCGAGGCGGTGAGGAAGTGGGGGTAAGTTTGTTTGACAACGGAGGGACATGAGGGCCAAAAAGAGCGGGAATCCAGGTGGAAAAAGGGTCCCGGCGTTCTTACGGCACCTCGCTCTGCTAGCGGGTCCATCCTCACCAGTTAGCCATACCTAGTATGTTTAGGAGAGAAACAGGACTAAATACTGAAAAACAGATCCAACTGTATCACCTATAATCTAGTGCAGGGGTCACCAACCATTTCAAGGCTGAGGGCTACTTCATGGGTATTGAATCATAGGAAGGGCTACCCAAGCTGACCTATAAACAAGAGGGGTCAGAGTTCACCTAAACTTCATCCAAATTAAACACGTTTTTATTGTTAACTTTTAATTTCTAATTTTCCTTTAAACATTATAATTTTAAAATCTCTATAAAGGCTAAAATGCCCTATATGATTACTATGATGAAATGCTCTATAAATGATTAAACAGAAGAGTCACAGAATAAAATAAAATTTCAAACTTAGCCCACTGCTGAGTTGCTGTTTTCAGAAGGCGTTGAGGGCCCCTTGGTGCCTGTGGGCACCGCGTTGGTGACCCCTGATCTAAGGTGCTGATGGCAGCAGCACAGCTGATATTTCTCTCCAGGATGGAGTCACAGCCAAACAGGAACAGACCAGATGAAGCTACTATGAGAAAAAGCAGAGAGAGCAGAACGTTAGAGATTGAACTAACAGATTCTGCAGAGTGGGAGAATAGAGATAGAATGAAGCAGAATGATGAAAAAGGGGTCCCTATGTCCTCCAGCAGTCTAAGCCTTTAGCAGCAGAACTATAGAGATAGCTCAGGATAACCTGAGCCACTCTAACTAGAAGCTTTATCAAAAAGGAAAGTTTTAAGTCTAGCCTTAAAAGTAGACAGGGTGTCTGCCTCACGGACTAAAACTGGTAGTTGGTTCCACAGGAGAGGAGCCTGAGAACTAAAAGATCTGCCTCCCATTCTACTTTTAGAAATTCTAGGAACCACTAGTAAACCTGCAGATTGAGAGCGAAGTGCTCTGTTAGGAACATAAGGAACAATCAGTGTAACCAGGAAAAATATTGGAGCAGAACAGTAATTTTAAATTTAAACCTGCGTTTCTAATCCTCCCTTTTTCCTCCCTGTGGATCTTTGTGGTGGAGTCAGTAAACTCTGCTTAATGAAGTGTTCAGAACGACAATTTAAACCCCATGTAATGCGTTTATTTCTGTGTTTTTTCTTGTGTACTGTTTCTGTTCTGGTTTTAACTTTGTTGTTTCTTTACGGCTGTGAGACGTTTGTTCACCGTGCTGCTCTTCTCCAGGCTCCCCCATTAATCTAAAGCATTTACTTTTCCTGAACAAGGAAACAAATGATGCGACCTTTTTAAAACCCTCGCTCTTGCGCTCGCTGCTGAATTCTTGGAGGGAGAATCCAGCGTGAAGTGCTGATGTGCCGTTTGTTACCTCTGAATCAAGCACAGCCTCATCTGGAAGAAGAGAAACATTTTTCATGCCTCGTTGGAACAGATTTGTCATATGTTCGCTCTCGTGTTTCCATGGAGACCTCTCTGTACCTCTCATGCTGGTGGTTTGATGTAAAATTTAGTCATTTCACTTTAAATCAAAGCCTCTGACTCCTCAGATGCCGACTTCTGCTCATCCTGCCTCCACCTTTAGTTCCCTTTAAACTGGTCCAGCCTTGGATCCCAGCTCCATCAGCAGGGCAGCTGCTGCATCACTGGGCTGTTCAGGAGGTCAAATCTGGACCCATGCTGAGCTAAAACATCAACAGAACCTCCTGTTCCACCACTGATGTTCCTTTGGATCTGTAGTGACGTTAGAGAGCAATTCAATTCTATTTAGTTTATTTCTATAGCTCCAATTCCCATCATGTCATCTCAGGTCACTTTCCAGTTCACCAGATCATCCAGTCAGATTGATTCAAAGTTTTCTATCTAAGGAAAACCAGCTGATTGCATCGACTCATTGACTCTTCAGCAATCCCTCACACTAAGCATGCTTGTAGCGACAGTGGAGAGGAAAAACTCCCTTTGAACAGGAAGAAACCTCCAGCAGAACCAGGCTCAGTGTGAGCGGCCATCTGCTGAGGCCCACTGGGGTTCAAGGAGACAGAAGCAGACATAGAAAAGAAGCATAGATACAAAAGGCAACTGTCAACCAGCTCCACAGGCGGCCCCGTCCAGGAAACACACAGCCAGGCAGACGAGCTCCGAGCCAGCTCCCATGTCAGAGGATGAAGAGAGCACATCCAGTTAGTCACAGTCAGAGAAACAGGACTACACTGGAAAACAGGCCAAGCTCCAACATCTATAAAGAAGGGTGTTGATGGAAGCAAAGAGCAGCCTGAGATGTTCTGATCTAGAAGCAGCCCTACCGATGATGCAAAGCAAGTAATTTTCATGTGAATGTGCTTTACTGGAGGCATCCATGTTTGTCAAAGAACACTACTGCCACCTACTGGTTAGTGACGTCACGGTGCGGTCTCGGCTGTTGATCAAGTCCCAGTGCTGTATCTGGTGTTTGTCACAACGCGCTATTATCCAAGTCATCTTGAAAACATTCTTCTTCCAAATGTTGGCTACATATTACGGGTTTTTTCTCTGGCCAGAAGTTCGATGGCGAATCCTCCCTCTTCAAGTTGGCGATCCAACGACCAACCCGTCCGTGGAGGATCAGGAATCAGAAAGGTGGAATAACTCTTTTTTTCACTTTTACCCGATGTATTCCAGCATCCAGCTGCCATGCACGTGGGCATTGTCAGTTTCACTATAGCTCTGGTGAATTTCAATGGTGAAGTCCTCTGGAAATCTTCAATAATTGTTGTTGATTGCAGATGTGTCTAATTTCGTGGTCCAGACTTTAAAGGGTTAAGGGAATTGGTGAGGTCATACGGTGAGTGGAAGCCACTCTGCCTGTTAAAGAACTGTGGCTGTTTTCTATGGATCTGCCTTCAGAAGCAGATAATCCGTCTGTGAAAATGAACAGGAGTAAAAAAATGCACCTAATTATCCGTCAAATATGTCGGTCAGGTTAAACCGAGTCAGAACCTTTTTCTTCAGCCAGTTTCTTGGAGTCCCCCCCAAAGGATTCCCAGTGGCAGAGCGGCTGTTGGTGGATTTATTAACTGCTTCCTAATGATTAGATGTCAGCGATGGGTAGGAAGGCTTCTGTTAAACAGTTTGCTGCAGACAGAAGCAGTAAATGAGCTGTGAGGAAGTCCCGGCTCCCTGCCTGCAGAGCCTTCGTGCCTAAGTAGTGTTTGGCCGTGTTTGAGTCGTACCTCGGGGCGTATTTGTGCTGTGATGGACAGCGACGGCGTTGCTGGTGTGTTTCTGTCTCTGGAAGCTGTCAGAGAGTCCAGATTTAGCAGGAAATCTGTTTGTTAAGGGCCGCTGGAAGTCATTTTGAACAGGGGATGCTGTGAAAATATAAAGCCTATAGAGCGGAGGTCTTCAACAGGGGGTCCGTGACCCCTAGGGGGTCCGCGGAGGTACTGCATGGGGGTCGCGAAACTTTTGGTTGATTCATTTTTTTTTTTTTTTATATTCCCTCCTGAATTGAAATTTCTTTAAATCCACATTAACATGAATCCAACAGACTGTAGTAAACAGATACATGGAGGCAGAAGATGTCTTTCAGTCATCAATGCTCACATTCAGAGACACACAGGAGCTCTTTCAAGCTGGGCACCGTTTCATTCACAACACCTGTCCCAT